TGTGAATTAACATCAATTCCTGACACCCACCCCAATTGTACTTTGGGCCTAAAAATTCTGACCCTGGACTGAACCATCGTCATTCTCCCAAAAGTAATTAAAACCCTAACCATATTAATTGCTTTTGTGGTAAATCGGTCTTGTTTCATCATTCTGTTTTGTTTAGTGCCATATCTATTTTTAAATTATCAACACATAAATCATTTTTACTACTTCAATCCATAATCCATATACCCTTATCCCTTCAACTTAAAAATGGATCACTTCTTATAAGTGGTGTCAAAGGTCTTTTATGCATTCTCTTTTGAACTTGAAATAATTCATACAGCTTAATCTGAAAATCTCACCAAACATACATGAAAAATGGTGATATAATTATACAAGAAAAAAAGAAAAAGGAAGAAAATAATGAGAAGAGAGTGAGATAGTCTTTTTTTCGTCTGTGACTCAAAAAAGTAGGCAATCCAAATTCGTATTGCGCCAGTCAAGTCATGTGGATCCGTAAATGCAATATGTGAAAACGATGCCCCGCGGCCATAGTCTGTTATGTGTCAATCCATGTCTCTAAAATCCTTTCAGGCTTTGAATTTCATCAATGCCCGCCCATCAATCGACATCAATTCCCAACTGTACTTCTGACCCTGAGCTAAACCGTCATTTCTTAATTACTTTTGTACAACTTAAACAGATTCGGTTATATGTTACATGTTATATTTAAATAAATAACAAAATAACTTGGTTACATGACTTTAAACCAAGGGTAAGGTCCATGCCCCCCTTCTTTTCTTTAAGGTTGCATTTGGTTGCAATGCAATTTTATTTGTACTAGTATAGATACATAGAGTGCAAATGAAAAAAAAAATGTAAATTCTTGCTTAATTTTATTTGGAGTTTTATTTTATTCTGATTCATGTCTTAATTCACTTCATTTGTACTACAATCAAACAAAATAAGCTAAAATTTAAAACAAAAATAAGTCAGAATTTACACTCAAATCATTTACACTGCCATAATTTTGCATCAATACAAATTTATTTGCATTGCAACCAAACACAGCCTAAAGAAAACATGACTTTTAGGTTCTAACCAGTTGAGAATCATTATTATGGTTTTTAGAGACCAATAGATAGATGTGAAAGTTGTTGCATACTAGTTAGTTCCATTGACAACTAAACTAGTATGTAAAAGGTTTCTTTCTTTTGTATGTGGAAAAATGCCTCTTCTAGGAGAAAAGAGAGTCTCTTTGGGGAAAAAGAGGTAGATCTTTTTAGAGGAGAGAGAACTTGAGAGAAAGATGGTGGTCTTTGAAAAATAGTCTTTTTCCTTTACAAGGGTTTGTCAGGTTTGAGGAAAAAGAGAATGCGTACAGAGATTAAGGCTGTGTTTGGTTGCAGTGCAATTTTATTTGCACTAGTACAAATGAATGTATGGGAGTGTAAATGAAAAAAAATGCAAATTCTCATTTAATTTAGTTATGGGTTTTACTTTATTCTCCTTCATGTCTTAATATACTTCATTTTTAATACAATAAAAAAAGGATAAAATCTGATACAAAAATAGGTCAGAATTTACACTCAAATAATGTGCACTACCACAGTTTTACATCAATGTAAATTTATTTGCATTGCAACCAAACATAGCCTAAGAATTTGCTTGGGGTATAAACCACAACAAATATCTATTATTTCTCATATTTTTCATAGTAAAGAATCCACCTATCTCGCCTGTCAACATAGGCAAAAGGTCAAACCACATAAGTTGATATCTTCTGTTATGGCTCAGTTTGGAAAGAGTACAAATACAAATCTGTGTATTTTGTATTTGTTCCCCTTCCAATCTTAGTTTCTTTACAATGATTTGTCTATTGGTAAAATTTTATTGACTTGGAGGCCTAATTTACAAGATTTGCTTATGGGCATAGGAATGGCAACAGGATGGGGATTGGTGAGTCTATGAAGCGAGGAATACTCACCCCATCTCAACCGATAGGGATATAAATTTCTCCATCCTCTTTAGAGTAGAAAAAAATCATCCCCATCTCTATTCCATTGAGAGGAAATGATATGGGCTCTCATGCTCCATCCAGTCATATTCTTCTGATTGTGCTTAAGATCCATATATCTGTGGTTTCAAATTTACTGCATAAAGCTGATTTTAATGGGGATCTCCCATTGGTACCCATTAGGCTCGTATTGGGCCATACCCTCTGTACCCAATTAAATGGTGGTCCTAAACTCCTATTCACTGGTTTTCAACATGTGTGAGATTGCGTATATGTCGTATGATGGGACTGTAAGTATTGTACAGCTCATGGTTTTTAAAACCGATGGTGACTGAACCGGTCAGGGGTTCGGTTACCGGGGCAAACGGTTTTATCATTTGAATCAAATGTTCGGCCCGTTTTGATAGAAAAATAAAAAAAAATTCAAAATAATAAAAAACGGTCAAAACCGTACAAACGATTCGAACAATTAACCATCCGATTTAACGGTTTACTGACCAAAATCAACAGTTTTAAAACGAAATCCGATTTTTGAAAAAAACAGAACCGATCAAATGATTGATTCCTGATTTTTCCAGTCCGACTATCCGATCCGATCCGATTTTAAAAACCATGGTACAGCTCCTGTCATTGCATATATGTCTTATGGCATTAGCGTCCACATATATTCAATCCATGCATTTTCCTTAAAATGTCCTACCGAAGGAAAGGAGGAACAGTGGACCACGTCTGACGATGCTTAGCTAATATGAGCATTGTTAGCTGATGTAGGGACAAAAAGATGTATTGAGCTAGAGGGAAGGTGGGACAGAACCTTCCTGCAAACATCAATGTTGACTACGACTTCCATCAGTACAAAGTCCCACCGTTCCAACAGCCGCTTTGTAATTTGCATTGCCCATGAAAGGCATTGCACTTTGGCGATACCAAATCATGCCCCCATAAGATTATCATTGTTTCCAATATATGTTGTAGGATATTGTAGGAGATAATCTCGTGGGGGGTTGATTTGAACTCCACTTAGCAGTTTTGATAGGTTAGGGAGAATCTAGGTCAACTTCGATGCATATATGGTGCAAATTGAACTAAGAAACCACACACAGAGACCTTCATAAAAGGCATTGCCTACAGTAAAATCCAATCCGATGAATGCTTTTGCCCAAGTTTGGATTGGTCCTTTGGCACCTGTATTCTTATCTTTTATCTATGGACCAGATATTGGTTCAATCCAATTACCCAATTCAATATAAATCCTTTATAGATGGATCAGGTTTAATCCAATCCAATCCAATAAATACTTTGGGCCATTAAGCCTAGACCGGTCCAATTCAATGTCTTATTGGTCTGTCTAATTCATCCAAATTGATTTTGATTTAGATAGGGTTTGGTTCAACTCAAAACTAGACTGCTGACATCCCTATCCGGGGGCATGGGAATGGCCCAACGAATAGGAATTGTTGAATGAATTGCCTATGGCTTACTGAAAAAAAAAAGAAAAGAAAATAATGAAAAGGAAAAAAAGAAAAATTCATGGATTTTCTTACAAGATATTGATAACATGACAAATTAACTTGTATTAAGGCCTTGTTTGTTTTTAATTGTCTGGATACCCAGGCAAGTGTTTTCCAAGTAAAACTTGTTTGGGAACTTAGCTTCCATCATTCTTGTACGCTACTAGTTACCCGACTAAAGAGAGAGGTGAGAGGGAGAGAGCGCTTATCGACTTTAGACCTGTTCATGGGCTGGGATTTTTTGACAAATCCCAAGCTCGGCCCAAAAAGTAATCGAGTTGGGCTTTTAGGCCCGAGGTCAAGCCCGCTGGCTAAAAACATACCCAAGCCCGTCTGGGGACCGGGCCAGGCCGTTGGGCTACCCGGCCCATGAACAAGTCTAATCGGCTTCAACAAGTACGTGAATAAGTTGTTTACCCACCTAACAACGAGGTATCAGTTACCCAAACAACTAACTTTCAGATATCCTCATTTACTATAAGACCCAATATAACAACAAATGAAAGAGGAAACCATGGTACATGAGGGGATGCACTTATAGAAAGCACTTCTAAGCACTTCTAAGCACCCCGGCCTTAAGGTATCAGTAATTGAATTTAACTATCTTGGAATTCATTGAAAAGAACACATCAAACTGTATTGTCCAAGTCCACGATCCTGTAATCCCCTATCTTAAAAGTAAGTCTTTGGTCCTTAACGGAAGTTGTTTTATAAGATATAGTATATAGCAAAGCAACCTTTCATGACTACCAATAGACAAAGGAGCTTTATTTATTGATGCACAAAACCATTTATAATAGAGAAGAAATCAAGTTTTCTAAGCACATACTTCTCCTCTCTTGACTCCTAACTTGTTTGGTTTAAACATGTCAAACTGTGACGTACAAATGCCCTTTCCTTTGCTATATATCCTCTTGGAAATCAACGTTTTAAAAAACGATTCAGAAATGGAATTGGCCACTGGTTTCTGGGATAATGGTCTGATCGTCCGATTTAAACAGATGGTCCGTTCTAACAGTAAAATTAAAAATAATAAAAACAATAAAAAATACGGTCAAAACTATTGAATGGGTCGATGGTTCGACCATCCGGGTCAACTGTTTATTGATTTTTTCAATGGTTTTTAATCAAATTCCGGGTTTTGATAAAATGAAATCGGTTGTTTGGACAATTTTTGGGCCGAACAGTCCGACCGTCCAGGTCAATAGCAATTCGAAAACGTTGGAAATGCTTGTTTTTCTTAGAAATAGAGAGAGAACTAACATAACATGTAGCACTGGCGTGTTCAACCGTGATTGGTAATTCAGCCGGGTGTGTATGTTTCTGTCTCCAGCTAATCCGCTCTAGTATAGGACTGGTAGATGGGTTCAAAGAAAGAAGAGTTGTTGTTGATCAAATAATAATAAATTAAAAAGCGTCCCCACATCATATAATTGAGTAATAGAAAATGGGAAAAGGTTTGTCATTTTAGGTTACCAAGGCACGTGGGTAAACTCAAGGCCAATATAGATTGAAAGTTTGAAACTGATGAACTCAAAGAGTCGAGAGTAGAAAATTAAAAGGTAATGTGGGTGTGAGAGTGTGAGAACCAGATCGATCGATTATGGGTAGGATGAAAAATTATAGGAAAGGTTGCTGGACTGAAGAAGAAGATAAATTGCTCAAAAGATGTGTAGAGATATATGGAGAAGGAAAGTGGAAGCACATCCCAGCAAGAGCAGGCAAGTTGGATCGACCAAAGCAATGTCTGGTTCCCAGAATGAATGAAGGTTAATGGTTTTTGCTATGTTGCAGGTCTCGATCGCTGTCGTAAGAGTTGCAGGTTAAGATGGTTGAACTATCTTCGTCCCAACATTAAGCGTGGTAACTTCGCAGTTGATGAGGTTGACCTCATAATCAGACTCCATAAGCTCTTGGGCAACAGGTAATTAATTTTGAGCTTCTTTTTCTTTTTCTCAGATTGACATAGTTCGATGAAATTCGGAAAACTGATGAAGAGCACTGTCTTTTGCTTGTTCTTATATTATTTCTTATCTCCTCTGTTAAGGAGTACTGATCAATAATTGTTGAGCTAAATGCTTCCTTTCATTTGTCGGTTTCTTCTTCACACGGTTGGAAGAAAAAATATATCTTCTCTCTCTCTCAATTAATGTTTATGTGGTTAGAATTTGATAAAACATTGTGGTGCCGGAACAGTTCAGCGACCCCAGTGGTGAATTCTGAACAGCCACCATTTCAAATAAAAAATCATCTGATGTGATGTATCGAATTAATTGCAAACGTCGGTGTGTTTGTTTTTCACTGCAGCTAGAATTTAACATTGTGTGTATATGTGTCAGATGGTCGCTAATTGCAGCTAGAATTCCTGGAAGAACAGCTAACGACGTTAAGAACTACTGGAATTCGCACTTGAGCAAGAAACTCAAATCGGAGCAACTGCTGCCATCGAACTTGACAACCCAACTGGCTGGCCCTCAAACCTCCGCTGCAAATTCATCGGAGTGGACGACGGGTGTCTCAGACTCTACCGGCGGGGATCACCAGAGACAAGTGGATGAAGAAGAATCTGGAGAAGAAGAGACATTAACCTTTTGGAAGAGGCTTTTGCTAGAGGGAGAAGAAATGAAAACAAAATCAAGTGCTGAAGATAAAGAGATGGCTGTGAATAATGAAGACTTTTTAGTAGGTTTTGAAGAATTAGTTCAAGACGGGGAAATATGGAGTTTGTTAAGTGAATAAATCATCAGCTTTGTCTTCAATGTTGGCTTCTTTCCTTAATTTCATGTTTTCTCTATGATGATACGCTTTAAACCTTGCTAATCGGTGTCCTAATGGCCTGTTTGTGTTCGAGGATCCCCCTGCTGTCTATAAGGAATTAGGCCATGTTTGGGAGTGTTTATGTTAAAAATAAGTGTTTATTCAAATAAGCACTTATTTGTATTTGGCATGTGTTTATTTTAAAAAATAAACACTTATTTTATATTGGATGTTTGGTGATATTTTTCTCCAATAGGCATCTAAATAAGTAATTGCGACTCTTTTGTCCTTCATTTTCTTTCAAACTTTCAAAGTATCCAATCCAATGTGAATGAAAGTGCTTTTATAAAAGTACTTTTACAAAAGTGATTTCGTAACAGTACTTTGATAAAAGTATTTCTGCAAAATACTTTTATAAAAGTTCTTTTATAAAATCACTTATATAAAAGTGCTTTCGTAAAAGTACTTTCGTAAAAGTACTTTCGTAAAAGTACTTTCGTAAAAGGTACTTTTATAAAAGTGCTCTGATAAAAGTACTTTCGTAAAAGTGTTTTTATAAAAGTACTTTCATAAAAGTACCTTCGTAAAAGTATTTTTGTAAAAATACTTTCATAAAAGTACATTCATAAAAGTGCTTTTGTAAAAGTGTTTTCGTAAAAGTGCTTTCATAAAAATACGTTCATAAAAGTGCTTTTGTGAAAATACTTTACTTTCAAAAAAGTAATTTTCATAAAATTACTTTTATAAGAGTGCCTTCATAAAAGGGTTATAATTAGAATTCTAAAAATTTACTGGGGACAATTATGGGAGAAAAAATTGAATAAGTGATTATTGTATGAGAATTTAAAAAAAAAAAAAGCTGAAAATTTGGACTTAGAAAATAAGCCCTTATTTTTAAAATAAACACTTATTTCAGGCTTATTTTCCAAACACTAATAAATGCTTAATGGTGTGGTCCCCACCCAAATAAGCACTTGTTTCCAATAAACACTTGTTTTTAAGCACTCCCAAACATGCATGCCCTCAATAGACCCAAAATGAATCTTTTTTGAGGTATCTTAATTCCTGGACTGCTACTGCCTGTACATCTAAGCCTGAAGAGGCAAAAGATCTAGGATGAAGTAATCCAAATGATGATGACTTATGAGAGAAATGGAGCAAGCTTCCCACCAAACCTTCAATCTTCTATATGCAAAGCCTGACCACAGGGATGGAATCAACCTTCCCCCACCTAATAAAGCGGGTCCTTGGGCCGTCCAAAAGATGAAAATCCCATTAAAATTGTCAAGACTCAAGACTGCTCTCTAACTCTCACTCTCTTATAATACCCTCCTCCACTTAAGTACTTAACTCCCAAACCCTCTCACTCCATTTCTCTCCAAACCTTACCTCCTCTACTCCCTCTTTCATTTATTTTTGTCAATAATAAGGCAGATCAAAGGAAAGGTAATCCCGTGAATGCCCTCCTCTCTCACACGAGAGAACTTTCGCTCCTATTAAATTTAAATTGTATGTACAATCACCTTTTCATAGTGGATTTAAAACCACCTAATTCCAGATTCAAAAGTTTTGACAAAAGCAAGGAGACGTGGATTCATCATCCATCGCTGAAAGTGATTGTACGAAAGTTTTTTCTTCTCACTCTACTCTCTACTTGTGTTGTTTATGCTGTAAATCTATATAATATAATGCTTTAATATAACTTCTTGATCATTACCGTAAGCCAAAAAAACCTATATGACTCCCCACTCCCTCCTCCCCCCCACCCAAAAAAAAAAAAAATCCCAGGCTCCCTCATTGCTTAGCCTGTTATAATATGAACTTTACAATTTTCAGATCCGCAAATATGTGTATAAAAGAAGGCAAAAGACCTGAATAGTTGAATGTGATGGTAAGTAAATCTTGTTAATTGCAAAATGTGAACAACTGAATGTTTAAGCATACGTTAACATGATTGGTTGAGATCTGAATTCAACGTACAACCAATATTAATGAATGCATCATAATTCAATTCACAAAAGATATATATGAAAACACGTTGGATGGAGATTCAAATTTACAAGAATCTCTCTTCTCATTTTCTTGTTTTTTGTCACTTCCTCTTCCCACCCTTGAATGACTCATTGTCCCACATTGTTTGAGAAAGGAGTGGAAGTAGAGTATATTTGTAGTTTTGCTCCCTCTATGGGTAAGGACCGATAAGAGGAGAGGACTATATATATTCCATGCATGTGAGGGGGGTTGGAGGTGCTTTTCACATGCGCGAACAGCCTAGGGCGGGTGCGTGTAACATTTTTGCTCTAACCGAATTATACCTTTTCTTTTTTAAATTGAGTCTTTTTAATTTTGAATTTAATTTCGAATTAAAACGTTTTTTTTTGTGTCTCTTCTTCCTCCTTGTGTCTCTTCGAACAGGTGTACTGTTCTGAAGAGTCTCTTGTCTAAAAGGACACATCTGTGTCCATTCGGGTCTGAGAGCATTCTATAAGAAGAGTGTTGGTCAACCTAGTATACACACACCATTTTCGACATTCTTGTTTTCTTTAAGAAATCTAAGCATCAATCTTCTGTGGTTCGCAAAGGTCTGGCAAGCGAGTGCACGTCTACTAGTGGCTTGTGGGCTATTTTATCTTGGTAACCGGTTTGCGATCACCCAGCTGCACCATAGGGGGCGAATACGGTTTTAAGGAGATTGACCAAGTGGCATGACTCAGCCCTCCATCTACCTGCAATTCCCAGTTTCGAGTTCCTGTAACATCTTCACACCACTGCAACTTCGGTTTGGAAAGCGATTACCGATAAGTTCCATCTACTCTCTTTACTATTATTACAACAATCTTAAAACTGTATTTATGGAACCTATCACTTCTAACCCCTTCATGAGAAACCGGATACTGTTAATAATTCCCGATTTCTTTAAGATTGAACCATTCAATGGAACCAACTACAAGTGTTGGAGACAATGCCTGCTGTTTGCCTTAGAATAGTTAGGGGTAGCCTTTGCTTTGACCGAACCAACCCATCAAACATGGAGGAGCCAGCCCGCTCTGTTGTTGCAGAACACTAGACTACAACTGACCACCTCTACACCAATCATATCCTTAACTGCTTGTCCAATAAACTGTACAATGTTTATTCTTCCTACAATTATGCCTATGAAATTTAGAATGCATTGGACACTAAGTATGCTTTGGAAAATGCTGGAAATAAGAAATATGTAATTGCCAACTTCCTGCACTTTACCATGAAGGAAGACATGGACGTGTCTGCTCAAATAGATGAGTTCCAGGTTCTTGTGGGGGAACTAGCAAAGGAAGGCATGTTACTGCCAGATGAATTCATTGTCGGTTCTCTCATAGAGAAACTGCCACATACATGGAATTATTTCAAGACTAGTATGAATTACAAGAGGAATGACACTACTTTGGACCAAGTAGTGGTCTGAATTAAGATTGAAGAAAAGAACAGAAAGAAAGATGAGGACCAGTTTTCCAAAACCAATTTGGTGGAGGAAAAGACTACAAAATTCAAAAAGAATTTGAATGTGAAAAATGATTAAAAATTCAAGAAATAACAAAAGAAAGGAAATTTCTATGTATGTGGCAAACCCGGACATTACAAGAAGAACTGCTAGTATCAAAAGAGGAAGGATTCTGGTAAATCGAAAGTCAATTTGATTAAGGATGTTATCACAACAGTGGTAATTGAGGTAAACTTAGTTGATAAGTCGAAGGAGTGGGTACTGGACACTAGTGCTACCAAGCACATATGTGGGGACCATAATTCCTTCTATGAGTATACAACTCAGCCTGAAATAGAGAAACTCTTCATAGGAAACTCACAAACTTTGAAGGTCATCGGCAAAGGAAAGGTGCTCCTGAAACTGACTTCAAGAAAAATCCTAATGCTAAATGATGTACTGCATGTGCCAGAGATCCGATAGAACTTGGTATCGAGAGAACTCCTCAACAAAGTAGGACTAGAACTCACATTTGAAGCAGACAAGGCCATGTTGACTAAAAATAATGTATTTATTGGAAAATGGTACAATACTGGTGGATTATTTGTACTGAACATCTCTGATATTATTATGAATAAAATGACTTCTTCTGCTTATATTGTTGAATCTTTTGATATTTGGCATGCTAGACTAAGGCATCGTAATGCTCTTTATTTGAAACAACTATGTAAATTAGGAGTTTTGAATATTCCTATTAATTTTACAAATGAAAAGTGCCAAATATGTGTAGAAGAAAAATTTATTAAGAAACCTCGTAAAAGTATACAAAGAGAAACTAAACTATTACAACTTATACATAGTGATCTAGGAGACCTTAAATGTCATGAAGTTAGAGGAGGAAAAAGATACTATATAACTTTTGCAAATGACTTCTCTAGATATGCAAGAGTAGTTCTACTTATATCAAAAGATGAGGTTGAACAAGCTTTTATAAATTACAAAACTAAAGTAGAAAATCAGTTAGGAAAGAAAATAAAAAGACTTAGAATAGACAGAGGAACTGAGTATGATGGACAAACTATTAGAATTCTTTGAATAAAATGGAATCATACAAGAAACCACAACTCCCTATCAACCTGAATCTAATGGCATTGCAAAAAGTCTTAACAGAACACTAAAAGAAATGATGAATGCAATGCTAATTAGTTTAGGTGCACCTCTGAATTTGTGGGGGGAAGCAATCCTAACAGCTTATCACTTATATAATAAAATACCACCTAAGAAGAAATGACAGATCCCTTTGAACTTTGGCACAACAGAAAACCTAGTCTGAACTACCTAAAAGTTTGGGGCTGCCTAGCAAATGTTGGAATACCTAAACCTAAAAGAAAGAAATTAGGACTGAAAACCTGTGACTATGTGTTCATTGGATATGCACACAATTGTGCGGCTTGTCGGTTCTTTGTAATTAAAATAATTGAAAATATTGTCAAAAATAACACAATAATAGAGTCCCGAGATGCAGAGTTCTTTGAACACATCTTCCCTTAGAGAAAAGAAACATTAAATAGGAAACCTTCCCAAAACCAAGTTAGAAACCAAGAACAAGTGAGTGCTCAAGGAATCAGTACTTCACTTAGGCAAGACCCAGACTTAAGGAGAAGTAAAAGACAAAAAAGAGAAACAAACTTGGGTGATAAAATGTTCACATTTCTGGTGGACAAGGACCCAGTAACCTATCAGGAAGTTGTAACTTCACCTGATGTAGTTTTTCTGGAAAGAAGCCATAAAAAGTGAAATAGACTCTTTAGTTACTAATCACACTTGG